AAAACAATAAATCAGTCGAACCTATAAGAAATCAACCATCAGGGATTCAAAGTTAAAAACCATAAAGGAAATTGGAGGGACTTGTATAAGAGGCTTCAGAGCTTATCGTTTGTTGTTAGTGTCAGTCAAAACTTAAGGGAAGTGAAAACCAAAGTAATTTGGTGATTTATGCATTGAAGATTGGAGCTAATAGTAGAGTTTCAAGTTTCCAACGACTATTAAAACATGTATTATTTGGAGTTGTCTACAAGTTGGCTACCTTGCTATGAATAAGCCTAGTTAATCATGGAGAAAGGCTAACTATACCCATAACTAAATGGTGCAAAGCCATTCTATTTATAGGAAATAACTTTCTTGAATAGCCTACTTAATACATATTGATATTGTTGCTACAAAAGTACATAGCCCATATTTTTGTTATATTTTATATGTTTATTCGTTTTCATTTACATGTATATTTAAATTTATTGATTCAAAATATGTTTTAATTATTGGATAAAATAAGTACATGGTTAAAATACTAATAATTTGGACATTTTTATTTTCATTTTTATAAAATTTTGGAAATAAATTGTAATTATCCAATGATGAGACTTTAAAAATATTTTAAATGGTGAGAATTTTTTCTAAATTTAACCAGCAAGGTAGAATAATTTAGAAGGAATTTCAATAAAAGTAATTTTATTCATTTCAAAACTAAAAATTAAATAAAATAACCCTTAAATTTTTTATTGAAAATATATGACAATTATCCGATGACGAAATTCCAAGAAAATCACAAATGGTTGAATTTCTAAGGATTTCTAGGTAAAAATCTTTTCCAAATTCAACCCAAATTGGTGGAAAATTTTGAATGAGATATCAAATAATAATTGTCATTTTGTTTTCATTCTAAAAATTGGGAAATAGATAACAAGTAAAATTCGACAATAAAAGTCTAAATTTTAGGAATTCACAACTTGACTCAAATTGTGAAAAATTTAGAAACTCTAAGAGAGAAAATATTTCTAGTTTTGGCCCAAATGGTAGAGGAATTAGATATATTTTTAATAAAATAAAAATTTAACAAAAAACAAATGATTAAGTTTTTTTTACAATAGAGCTTCTTCAAAAAAATAAATAGGATTCTTAAATACTCTTGAAGTGAGAAAATATTTTTAAGAATTTTTCTAGATTGATGAAGAAATCTTAAAAATTATTTCCAATATGTAAACGTTAAAATTTAATTTAAGACCATTAGAACCACAAACTTTTAGAATAATTTAAAATTAAATGGTATTGTCTTTTAGGGTGGGCATTGTAGAGGTGCTATAATATTTCCTACATGTAATCAAATTCCCAAATTTAATTCTATTTAGAAAGTCAGAACTTATTTTTTAGGACCTTAAGTCAAGCTTAGGATTTTCTTAAAAAGATAGATTCATTAGTTTGCCAATCTCACTTAAATAAAAGATCAGTGGCAGCTTCTTAGATTGTATCTAGCGATAGGTCTATGGATCTATATATTATGACACCATAAACTTATTTCTTTTGCTAGGACATATTCAAACACTTGGAAAACAAACTTAGAAAAACCTTTTATTGTCCAAGGAATTTTATCAAACATTTGTAGAACTACCAAGCATGAAAATACTAAAAAACATTTCATTGCCAAACAACAAAGATATACATCAAAATGGTAAACAAATATGAAAATAACAATCTCTAATATCATAAACACATTACAATATCTCAAGCCAAGCAAGCAAACCACAAAAAAGAGAAAACGGGAGTTTCGACCAAGGCATGGGAACCTTTAGGCATGAACTCATCAGTTGGATTTTATTACTTTTTGATTCTTAGTTATTTTAAACCATACCATTAGCTTGGTAGGATGAACCAGAGAGTCAAGAGAGAAATGTAGAAGAAAACAACCATGGAAAGGGTTGTCTCTCCTCAAAATATTATAAAGATAAAAAAAAAAAAACTACATGGATGAATATGAAAGCTTGTATATAAAATGCAAGAAAGGGAAGAAATGTTATACCTTCCTAGTTTTCTCCAATTTTTTTTATTTTTTTTCTCTTTTTTTTAGGGGCGGTAACGGTTCTAATTAGATCGAATTCAGTTCGGTTTTTTCAAATAATGCATAGTAATATGAATTTTAAAAATTTGATCCAAATTTAAACCGATCTTTTTTTAAAACTAATCCGATTTAAACCAAATTCTATCGGTTAAGTTCAGTTCGATTTATCAATTTTTAAATTTTTTTTTTATATATATTATTTTAATAGTATTTTTAATATATTTAAATAGATTTACATATAAAATAATTATTTTTATTTTATAAAAATTTAAAAAATATATAAAAACTAATAAAAAAATATAATTCGATTTGGTTTAATTTTTTTAGTTTTTCACATCCCAATCCAAAATCCGATCCAAACTTAATATATATATATATATATATATTTAATATCTGAATTTGATTCAAATCAAATAAGAAAAAAATTGATCTAAACCAAATCGAACACTATGGTTTCGAATTGGTTTTCAACTTTCTCAGCTTTTTTTTTTCTCAGCCTTACTTTTGTTTTTGGTTTTCATGCCTCCAATAACCACTACCTCATCCTCTTTTTTCAGCCCTTTATGATATATTTAAAGGCCAAGCTTTTGATCAATCTCCATCCAATGTCCATTGTAATTCTTGTCTCTTCCCTCAAGTTTAGTAATCAAGCAATGCAATTTTTGCCTTAAGGCTTAAAACCTTTTAAGATCAAGGGCTCTAAGAAAATACAGCACACAACTTATCCTCTAGTGCAATTGTCCTAATAAAAAAAGATCATTTTACCCTTATTAGAGTTTTTAAGCCTTTTCAAGATTTTCTCAAAATCTTATGACCCAATTTTTATTTTCATGATTTTAATAGCCCAAAAATCATAAAATAATATTTAACTATGATCTGGAGTTTTTATGAAAATCTAACCTCGAAAAGGTTAAATTACAAAAAAACTTTTAAAGGGCATTTTAATAATTTCACTCATTTTGGGGTGCAATCAATATTTTTAATGCATCAAAATTTATGAAATAATATTTAAACATAATCTGGAGTTTTTTTTGTGAAAAACTAATCTAAAAAGCAAATTACGAAAATACTTATAAATGGCATTTTAGTAATTTCACTCCTTTTGAGGTATAATCAAGATTTTCGATGCATCAAAATTCATGAAATAATATTTTAACCTGATATGGAGCTATTCATTAAAAACTAACCTCAAAAAAGTAAAATTATAAAAATACCCTTAAGAGCATTTTAGTAATTTCACTCCTTTTGAGGTACAATCAAAATTTTTAATGCATCAAAATTCATGAACTAATATTTAAACATGATTTGGAGTTTTTCTCAAAAAAATAATCTCAAAAAGGTCAAATTACAAAAATACCCATAAAGGGCATCTTAGTAATTTCATTCCTTTTGAGGCCTAACAATATTTTCAAGAGTCAAATCATAATTTTACTAATCACAAACGTTAATAGTCCTACTCAATCATGAATTCCGCAAATTGATTTGAGTTTAACTAAATTTGACTAAGTTTAATTAAGGGACATTTTGATCATTTTAGCTCAAATTTTAATTTTAAAAACTTGTGAATCCTCTAAAAAACTTAGATATAAATTGGGTCTCAATTTTAAAATTATCACTAACGTACCTAAACAAAATTAAGTATCTATGTCACTTTGGTACATGCATATATAAAATTTATATTTTTTGCTAAAAATGTTATTTGTGTATATATATAAAATTATATAAAAAAAAAACAATAACCCTTGCATTGAACGGGATCACAATAAACTAGTAAAAACTAATATTCAAAATTTAGTGACAAGAAACAAATGCTACTATATGTATATTGTTAGCAACATTTGTTTTTAAAAATCGCCACTAAGTAGAGCATAAGTTATTGACATTTTCAAACACAAACAACGCCAAACATTTACATATAACGTTTATGGAAAAATGTCGTAATATGGTGAGTCACTTAACAACGTTTATGCCAAAAGGCTGCTAAGTGAAGCAACGTAATGACATTTACGTCAAAGAAACATTGGTAAATATGCAAAAAATCTCACCTCCTGCATATCAAGTCGTCTATGAAACATTGTTAAACTTAAAATAAACACCAATAAGAGTAGCAGCGTTTTTCATAAAACACAACATTTTTTGGAAATGCCCCTTTAGCAGAATTTATAAACACTACTAAATAATAAAAAAATTGCAAGAAACCTAATTTTAATTTCTATAGTTATTCAATTTATGTGGATGAAGTTTAAAAATCTCACTAGCGAAATTAAAAAGTTATCACATAATATTTTATTAAGACATATTTAAAGAAATAATCATAGTTAAATTCATATAATAAATAAGAAATATAATATTCTAAAATCAATCATAGAATTTAAAAATGATGCATAAAATATTAATTCTAAATATTAAATCAACAGTTTTAAAACTATAATGATATTCAATCTTGAATGGATGAAGCTATAAATACAAAATTTGATATCTTTATGATGCAGTCTTTGAATTATAATTTTTTTACTATAATATTACAATCAACTAATTATAATCAAGAATTATGTAAAAATTCACCGTTTAAAAATATGAATTATATATATTTTTTAATAAGTCCTATATAATATTAAATTATAATTAATTAATTATATTATAATAATTTTAGGTGATATACTTTATAGAAAAAACTAGATTTAGATTCTATTGAAAATTTTCGTGATTCACTTTATTCCTTTTTTATTTGAACACGCTTTTCTTGCTAAAACTCATAGGATTCAGTGTATCATCATTACCAATTTCTGATGATTTTCTTTCCAAATCAAATTCAAAATTCTACACTAATTTAGGTATTGACATTTTGACCAGGAAGCAAAACTTTCGCCAATGGAGAAACTCTAGAGGTGCAATATTCCATTATAAAGTAACTCATTTATAGCTTATTCTCCAATATTCAAAGTTGAAACCCCACAGTTCTGATCTTTGCTCGATTTTTGTTCACATTCATCGTTTTCTTTTTCTTTTCTTTTTTTTTTGTTTGGGGGACAATAATCAATCTATGTTCATATCCATCACCGATCACCATGCTTAATAACCAGCAGAAAATGTTGAACAAGTGTTGCGAAAACAAGAAACCAGGGAAAACCAAAGGCCGGCAAAGGATTGAGATCAAGCAACTCGAGAAGAAAAACAACTTGCATGTGACTTTCACGAAGCGCAGAACTGGTCTCTTCAAGAAAGCAAGCGAGCTTTGCATCTTGTCTGGTGCAAAAATCGGCATTATCGTGCTATCTCCCAGTCCCAGAGAGAAACCTTTCTGCTTTGGCCACCCCAACATCGATACAATCCTGGATCAATATCTCAATAATATTGGAAACCCTACTTTTGATGATCAAGATTATGCAACAACAGATCTTCCAGCTTTTGAAGAAATTAACAAGCAGTATGAGGAGTCGTTGAAGGAGCTGGAGAAGGAAAAGAAGCGTGGAAAGGAGATGGAGGAGGCAAAGAAAGTGGGAAACAATGTCGGGTTTTGGTGGGATATTGAGTCTGTTGAAGGTATGGGGATAGAGGAGCTTGAAGCCTACATGAAGGCTACGGAGGAGCTGAAGGATAATCTGATCGTAAGGGTTAATGCCTTGACGATGGCTAATGTTATTGAGACTGTTGCCCAGGCTAATCATGGTCATGGTTTTGGCTTTGCACAAAATCCAGGTTTTGGGGGTACACAGTGAATAATATTGTTTCAAAGCTTTAATTTTTTTTGTTCTTACCGTAATAAAATATCCTTTTATTAGACATAAATAGACGACGAATGAACAAAAGCACGTTTATGCTATGTAGGTTATGAAAAATGAACAACGTTTATTTTGTTTTCAGTTTAGAGAAGCTGAGGTTCACATCCATCATCTTTAGGTTGTGAAATTTTAACTATGCCAAAACTCTTTGAATAATTTTTATTAATGAGGATAAATTCGTCTCAATTACTCTCAAAGTGCTTTTTATGAAATTATAAATACAAATTCTAATTATAATCAAATATTACACTTATATAAAGAAATCACACAAAATCAAACAATAATCAAATAAACATATAAACTAACAAACTAAAACATACCTAAACAAATTTAACATAAGGTTAAATCAAATCCAAACATAATACTCCTGAAGTGTTTGATGTTTCCTTTATATATATATATATATATATATATATATAAGTTTGTAGATGAATTAATTAACGAATGATTTTGTGAAATATTCCCTCTCCCTTTACCAAACTATGACACTCTTTGATGACGATGACTAGATGATAGAAGATTATCAATTAGAAAGATTACCAATATACACATGTCTTAAACTGCGTGATCTTACATATACATTCATCAATGCAGAAATGATTCTCAATGACAGATGTAGCCGGTCAAGGATTATAACTGAGGACTGATAGGATGATCTAATGTGAAAACTTTTGAAAAAAAAGAAAAAAAAAATTCACAAATCTACATCTTTTTCAGATGATTAGTTGGCTCAAAATTAATACTCTCTCCGCTTTAAATTATTTAAACGATATTGGTTTTCACAGAATTTAAAAAAAAAAATTTGATTTTAATGTATTCAATATTATAATTAAAATTTTTTTATAAAATTAAAATTTCAGGACTTTTAATATCAAAAAGTTAAAAAAATTATAAAACATTATTTTAAAATATATAAAAAAAAAAGAATTTAAGAAGTTCAAAAATATTTATAATTTTGGGATACCCTAAAAAGAAAATGAGACAAAGAAAATAATTTGCAAAGAGAAACTAAAGAAAGGGCATAGGAAAAGAGTGAGTACATGCAATAAAAAAAAATAAAAAAGACCAACACACCTATTGCATGGCTTTGTTCAAGCTAATAAGAAGAATTGGCCTTCATTGTTGGATGTAGCTCAGCTGTGTTTTAATTCCAACAAGTATTCTTTCACAAACAAGAATCCTTTTAAAGTGGTCACTAGATAACTACCAAGACTATTGCACATATCTCTTGGGCCATATCAAGGGAAGAATATGCAAGCCTTCAATCTTAGTAAAGAATGGAGATAGAACATAGAAATTGTGCAAGCATACTTAGAGAATGCATCATAAAGTATGAAAAAGTCGGCAAATAAGGGCCAAAGGGCATAACAATTCAAAGTTGGTGGTCTTATGCTTGTCAGACTAATTCCTGAACAAACTAGGTTCCTAAAAAAGTGAGATTGTAGGTTGGTGCATAAGTATGGGAGTCCAGTGAAGATCTTTTCCAAAATGGGGAATACTTTTTACAAAATTGACCCTAAAAAATGGATAAAGGTGCATCCAATATTCCACGTAAGCAATTTAAAACCCTATCATGTAGACCTCTCAGATGCAAGTCGTAGTGAATCAACCAGGGCTGCCATTACCATAAAGCCACCATTAAAACTTTGAGTTGAAAAGATTTTAGCTAATAGGGTATCTTGAGTACCTCGAAGAATAGTCAATGAATATCTAGTCAAGTGGGAGGGCTTAAGACTAGAAAAAACTAGTTGGGAGAGAAACCATGACCTCTAAGCATTCAAACAGAAGATTGAAGAATTTCGAGCCAGCAAGTCAATGAGGACATCGACAAAATAGGTGGGAGAGGATATCATGAGCAACAATTGTACAAGGCTATGATCGGGCATAAGATGTCATGAGCCATTTATGTATAGGTCATGACCAGGTAAAAATGCCAAGGGGAAAGGTAGATCTCATGTGCTAGGAAAAAGTGTTCCCATTTCAAAAATTGTAATGGTTTTTAGCAGCATAGCTATAAAATCTCTTAAGCTTTTAAGAAGGGGTGTATAGTCGGTATGTTGTTGAGTTACTTTATTGGCTAAGGTACATGCTAGATCACCTAACTAAGGCTACCCCTCTGGCCCTAATGATGGTAGGAAGACTCAATGATGCTTTTGTACTTGTTATACTATTCTTAATATTAATTAAACTTTTTTTTCCTAGAACATAGGGTGTCATCTTGATGTGCTCTATCATTCCAATCAGGGCATTGCTTGCTACTACCTATTCTTTTGTAATTTTTCCTATCTGTATCCTATCTTAGTTGAATCCTCAAGATTTTGCCTTAGACATGATGTCCATTATGGTTCGAAAGTTTAATGATTTTATCTCGTAAAAGATGCCTCACAAGTATGAGTTTAAATCTCTACTTATATATCATAATAAATTCTCAAAACATCATGTACGATTGGGATGTCACACATGATGCAGCAAAAGTTGTTTGAAATGCTCGTTTTGGAAAACATTGGTAAGAAAAAGTGCTTCATCTTCTTTTTTGATTATAATGTGTAAATGCGTTAACTTGCAAATGTAGACTCTGACTTGACGCTTTAAAATGTTATTTTACGTTGATGCTTCAAAATGTTTGAAAGTACAACAAAAAAAAGGCTTTTTCTATTATGTAGGGTCTATTATATGGGTCGAACTGGCATTACTCTATAAGGATCATCTTAGTAAAAGCATTGTCCCGATCTTAGCAATTACTGGAGACCGAGATCTGATCTGTCAGCCTAAAGTGGTAAATGGTATGATATCAATTCATCCAACCTGTCTACATTAATCTAATATATTGTATAGCATTGCTTCTTTTTGTCATTTAATTTGCAATGATATCAATCCAGTCGAAATAGTGAAGCTCATTCCTAAGCCATTGGTTACCTAATAAGCTTTTAGAGAACCAGGTAGTCCTCATTATGCTTACAATGATATAATAGGTAGTCGGTCGGTATGAATTAATCTTAGCATTATCTGAAGTTGATAATTTTAGTACTTTACATTTGGAATTCATAACAAATTTATCATAATAGCTTCTTTTAAATGTTTACACTTCTTTTTTATGTAGGCCATAGATCTGTGTGTCCATGTATAATAGAATTTCTCAATCAATATGATGTTACTTGAATTCATTGCTACTATTTTTTCTTTACCTACATTTAAGCTTAATTCATTATTTTTTCCCATGAAGTAAAGAGCTAATACAATGATTTTTCAAGGGAATCTTCCTTTTAAATTAGGGATCAAGTACAATACATAAAGGAGGTAAAGGATCAATTTCATACATGTATATATGTTGAATTCAAGTTTGTGCTTGTGTAGAGACATGTAAAAAAATAGCATACTTAATCATGATTCATGAAGTTTAGATGTATAAATTGAGGAAGTAGAGTGTAATGATCAACTTCATTCAAGTTTAACTAGTTATGGGTTTAAGCCTTAGGGCTATCCATTTTGAACATTGTCTGGGATGGAGGGTTTCATTCATGTCAATTAGATATTTCAACTTGTTGTTTTGGCAACCTTTGACTTAAGGCAGTGTAGGTTGCATAAGGAGAATTGCCATTGTATGCATGAGATACAAGCACAACCTACATGTGTATTCAAAGATTTACTGTTATTTATACATTTTCTAATTTCTTCAAGGTTTAACTTACTTTTTTCGATCATGCAAGTAGCAAATTCCAAGTATTTATATCAAATTGAAAAAAGATGAGGTAAGACTAGTACCAAATAACAACAAATCCCAAAAAGATATTTGATTTCAAGAAAAATAGGGCAGAGTTGCAATAATTTTAATACATATAACAATAATTGCCCATATCTATAACCACATATAAAAAATAACCTACCATGGAAAAGACAATTTTGCTTTTCCAATTTTAGTTAACGGGATGTTTTAAATACACCATAAAATCTTTTTTATAAACTTTATAAATTTTTTTTCCAAAAATATTTACATGCCAAATACCAAATTTAACTTTTAATAAATTATAAAAATGCCTTCAAACTCTTATACACCCACATCCTTCTTATTTCCCTTTTCTTCCTTGTTCTTCCTCTTTCATCCCTCTTTCTTATAAACTAAACCCTAAATCTTTAAAACTAAAACCAAAATTTTGAAATCTTTTTTAAATCTTACAAACCATTTAAGAATGGATTCAAAAATGAGAAACAACAATAAGACATAAGAGCTTAACAAGGCAATGAAATCTCACCAAGTCGAGTTTGGATTTTTTATGTTTTCATAAATCTATTTTCAAGAATATAGAAAAATTTTCGAAAATGGATTTATGAATATTATATTGTATTCTTGAAAATTCATTTTCGATTATACAATGTAATTCTTGAAAATAAATTTTTGAGAATATAAAATTTTGAGAATACAATGCAATTCAAAATCCATTTTTTGTGAATTATATTATATTCTCATAAATGAATTTTAGAAAAATACATTATAATTTTTTGCAACTTTATATTTCTTTTAGTAAAAATCTTTTAACATATTGTGATATGCAGATCAATTTGAAAACTGCACCGATATAGTGGGATCAATCACCAGACAATTTAGAGACTAGATATGATCGCATAGATTCATTTACTATGGAAGAGGTAAGATTAGGTTTATGAGATTTAATGTTATTGGAAGGCATAAAAGCATAGAATGTTAGTTTGTATAGACATAATAAGTTAAAAATGTTGTGTATGTATTTTGTAGTAGAAAAGCTTTGATTTCATGGGCTAGACATGTTGGAAAATATCAAGATTTCATGATTGTTATTAAAAACTCTGAGGTGGGAGGTTCGAGAAAACCTAGAATAAAATTAGCATGTGAACGAAGTAAAAAATACAGATAGCTAAAGAATAAGGGTAATGTAAATGAAATGAAACGTAAGAGAATGGGA